GAAGAACCAGCAGAAGAACGCAGCCAGGAATACTGGGATTTTGACACTGGAAGAGACAAACGGGAATGGCGGTCTGGCAGGCACCACCAGACGAGACACAGACGAGATGAAGAACTCCCAGAGGAAGTTAGGGAAGAGCCGGATGAGGAACGCAGCCAGGAGTCCTGGGACTTTAATGCTGGAAGAGACAAAAGGCAATGGAGGTCTGGCAGGCACCATCAGACGAGACACAAACGCGATGACGAGCTGTCAGAGGAGGTCAGAGAAGAGCCGAATGAGGAACGGAGCCAGGAGTCCTGGGATTTTGACGTAGGAAGAGAGAAGAGGGAATGGAGGTCTGGCAGGCACCACCAGACGAGACACAAACGCGATGAGGAGCTGTCAGAGGAAGAGAGAGAAGAGCCAGATGAAGAACGCAGCCAGGAGTCCTGGGGACTCGATAAAAGGCTTGAAAAAGAAGGAGAAATGGAAAAGCGGATATGGAAACCAACACACCGATATCACAATAAAAATACATTTCACAAGCGCGATGGAGGCTCATCATCAGAAGAGGATGAGCAGAAAGATGATTCAGAAGAATATGCAGGAGAGGCGAAGGACAGAGATGAAGCTCTGAGGTATTTTTTGTCGCACGGGAATTTGATGTAGACACCAGACATTCCAGCTAACCAAAAAGAGTGAGAATTTATTAGAATTATACAGACTCTTTTCAAATGAAACAAACTGTTTTCAGGTATCTGGCAGAGAAGCGCAATCCTTGGATCTACAGAAGTTACTACCACCCTTCCTGGTTTAAAAGGGACTCGGACGAACCCACTGTGCCATCAAACAAGGTAGTGATGATGTTATTTGAGTTACAGATTCATGTATTAACCCAGTGGAATTGCTATTTGTTCTTATTGCTTTTGAGACTTTGAAGAAACCATTTGAAATATTTCAAAAGGATGCATTTGTTAAAAAAGAATCACATAAAAATCACATTAAAAAAATGTTTTTTTTTATGCGATTCTCCAACCACTGAATTCTCTGGCTCTGTGTTTATATTGGCTCAGATGGATGAACTGGCAAAACTGCTGAGCTATAAAATAAACCAGCTGGCTAACCACTCTACTCAAGAGGAGGCAAAGAGGAGCTCAGTGCAGAGAGCGCTTACTCCCCAGGAGGTCAGTCAAACTTAATCAATATACCTTCAAATAAAAAGACCACTATTTACCTTTTTAAAATCTTAGTCCATTGCATTTTGGTCCAAAAACAAAACCTCATGTCAGCGGCTTGGGGAGTGTAATTCATTCAGAAAGGTAATTTCTTTTCAAATAAGAACTATTTAGCAAACAGTTTGAATTAAGTAAACATCCACCCTTCATTCACTTTCAGGGAGAAGGTATTTACCCTGCAGCCTTTTCCATAAACAAGACGCACCATATTTGGCTGACCTACTAAAGCCATCAGGCACATCACATCTCTGCACCCACAGTTTATCTGAAGGGAAAAGCAGAGGCGTTCATTATAGAGATCTCCATCCCATAAAGGAGATTTCATCAGGATTTTATCTCTGGAGTCAGATGCCAACGAATATTCAGCTATGGAAATCATCTGCTGTCCTTTGCAAACACGCTCTTCATGAAGGAAAGCCAATGATGCGTGCGGGTAGCAACTCTTAAACCAAGGCACACTCAGAAGTTACTGGACAAATCTTACTCGTGTTTTTTTATTCTCCCGGTTTGTTTGTCCATTCTCGCAGCATTTTATGACTGCTGCAGTAATCACACTAAGGACCTTGTGACTGTACACTCCTAGCTCTAATAAGCCCATTAAGAGAAGGGGAACTACAGTCAAAAGGATTCTCCATCTAGCTGCATAATAAAAAGATAAATAAAACTAATTACAGAGGTATTGTCACAGGGACTCATGAGTTCTACAAAACTATGACTCTAAGGATGATGGAAGAATATTTCACCTGGGTGAACAATTAAAACAACAACAGGCTTCATTGTGATACAGGCACAAGCCTCTATAGTTTTATGAGCTAAATGATCTTAGTCAACTTTGTTTTTTCTGTTTTTTAAAGCTCTGAGGGGATAAAAAAAAGAATTGTTGACATGTACACGATTATTTTTTTTCAGGAGAAAGAGATGGAGAGCCTGGCAGCGATGGACATGGAGCTCCAGAAAATTGCTGCTAAATTGCATGAAAAAACTGCATAACCCCCCCCCCCCCCCACACACACACACGGATATCTAGATAGAAAGCTACCAAACACTAGCAAGTAAAAGTCGCTGTATTATTGTTCGTCTGCCAATTAAGTGTGCTCACTGTGTTAAAAAAATACGAAAAATGTAAAACTCTCAAGCATTTGTTCATTGTTATTTTGTGATATATTAATGTTATCCAGTTGAAACGGCATGGAATCTGCTTGTTTATACATTATACGAGCAAACGAAACGAAGAAAAAAAAAAAAGACTTCATGACTCAAATGTGTTCTGCTCTCAATAAAAGGAGTTATTCTGGGACCAAACCAAAATTTCTCGTTTATTTCTTAAAAGGTAAAGGTGGTCACAGATCAGTGTCTTTAACCCGCAGATACAGAACAAATGGCACTTTCTCCATCATTTAAAAAAAACAAAAAAACACCTGACCTCGAGGCATAATACATACATCTGTCACTTTTGGAACATAAATGATTTCACTAGCTCATTATAGAAGAAACAGCTTAGCTTCAAAGGGACTAAACTGGTTTGCAGTTTACTTCTCAGCATTACTCCTCAATGTGTTCTGTTGAGAGGCCAAAAAATGGGAGGAAGAATTCTGACGAATGCAAACCAGACACCCTGTCTCCTTTACTCAAGAAGTGTCCAATCAGGTCAGCAGAGATGAGGTCCAAGGCAGAATCCCAACTGACGACTGGTAATTTGCCCCGAAAGGACAGGATCCCTCCACGTTTGTTTACCCCTCAGTTTCTTCCAGTTTCTGTCTCTTTGGTGCTGGTTCCTCAGCTTTACATGAGCCTGCTGGTTTGGAGCGGTCCATGGCAACAGTTGTCCCTGAGAGGAGGTAGCCCCCACCCCCGCTCATCTGAAGCTGGGGACGCGTCCGGTCTGGCATCACCTGGGGAATCAACAGTCAGGAGTCGTCAGCTCAGCGGGATACAACTTTTGACTACGCAAGTGTGTTTTTAACAGTCAGAGAGAAGATGGAAAATACTAAACACGTTCCTTACATGAAGGGGTTAAACTGGGAAAACCAATCAGTGGCTGGACTAATGCTGCTGGTGGGTGGTGCCGAACATCGTCAAAAAAAAGTGTTTGTCGAGTTACCATCACTATATTTTTATACATATGACAAGCTCTGGACCTAATGAAAGAATAAGACTAATACTGATGATGAAGGTCAAAACCACAAAGCTCTGAATCCTGAAATGAAAACAGTGAACCAGAGATAAGAGGGAGGTCCACTTGGAACATTCTGCAGTTTTGTCACTGTTACAACTGCGGCTAACGATTTGCGATCAAATCATTATTGGTCCGAGAAGCTCTGCACCACGAAAAAAAAGGGAGGATAATAATGATAATAAGTAGAAGAATTCGAAGCCTGGGCAATTACCTGGTAATGTCTGAGCCAGGTGTCTGTGAGCCGGAGGTTGACCGTGCCCCCTTGTTCTCTGAGTTTTGTGTAGCATTCAATAAGAGGCTATGGAAAATGGGCCGGGAGAGAGATAAAAGAAGCATTTTAGAGAATGACAGCTTTGTCAATGGCTACGCAGACACAGATGCATTGAGCTTTTTCAGCAACATAAGAATGAAGGAGACAATCGGTGCCGGGCTGAGGCCATTGCTTGATAGCGGTACAGATGTCGAGTGCATCATTTCCCACTTGCAGTGCCTTTGTGCCGCTGCAACTAATGAGAAATCTTTCTCACATTACTGTAACAATTGCCATTCAGTAGACAGTTAAGAGAGCAGTCGTGTACGTGATTGTCTTACCTCTTTGAACTGGGAATACACCACGAAAGGCCGAGAGGGGGAGAGAAATTTGAGCAGGCCCAGGAGGACTGGGCACGGGTGAAAGCGGCTCGCTATAACCAACCTGCAGGCGAGAAACAAAGAGATGATAAAGCACGGCCGTTCCGCATAAAGCACGCCGTCAACAGTGGGCTTTGCGACGGGGAATTTGCGGGGTGGCAGTATCGTAATTTAGCTTATCAGCGCTTCAGATCAGAGTACCAGAAGACGTAGTGCCTCCTCTGGAGCCCACAGTCATTTTATATTTTATGGAGCTGCATGGGGGTCGGGGGAAGAGGTTGATTTAAGGCAGTGCGGGTGATTGTGCTGTGTGGTGGTGTTTATTGTTAAGCAGAGGAGAAGTCCATAAGCTAACAAAAATCAATACTTATACTTCAGGAACAGATGTCACCTTCATAACAGCGCATCCATCAATCTTAAAAAGGCTATAAGGCTCTTCGCTTTATGTGAGAGGAAACTGCAAAGCAATCAATTTGTTCACCTTCTCTGGACTTCCTGGGGAGGACATTATATTTTTATAGGCGAAATTAATAATACCTTAATCATTAAATATTTGTGTCCTTCATGCACTCATTTTAAAATGAACTGGGTTTACTTTCAGGTCCGTTTGGGGACCGGTTGCAGCAGAGGAGGAGAGCAATGGAGATTGAAGCTGAGAGGGGCCCAGGAACAAAAAAAAATGTCAGAAGAGAAGCAAAACGTGACACTGACCCGTCAGCATTCCTGCCTTCCAGCAGGGCAGCTGCAGCAGCCAGTTTTTTCCGCTTCTCCCTCAGCTTTGCCTTTTTTTCCTGAGCCTTTAAAGAAGAAGAAGAATCAATAACATGTTTCTAGCCAAAAAAACAGCAGGATGTTTGGCAACATTCCTCTCTGCAAAGTGTTCCATTGTAAGTTGAATGCAAACATAACAGGATACGGACTGAAGAAGACTACAAAACAGATGAGTTATACCTTGGATTCTTTGCGGTTCTCCAAGTCTGTTTTCTCCTGGTGCTGGTCCGCCTCCATGCTCTGTTCCTCTGGACTGCCTTCCTGTGGTTCTGCCCTGGGCTGATTCTGCTTCTCTTCTGCAGCTGTGCTGAGCTCCTTCTGCTCTGGTGTTACAAAGCACAAGTCCCTGTTGGCTCATAGTATATAATAAAAGCATTACACCAATAGATTACCCACAAACATAAAGCGTACTAATACACATCAGATTAATAGACAAACACGTTTGTCTGTCTGGAAATGACCATACCGACAGCAGGTTCCTTGACAGTGGTGTTCAGGGTGCCTGCCAGCAAAGCGTTGACGTGGCAGATGGGAAACTCATGCAGCATATCACCATACTGTGCAGGAAAGCCAAAGCTCTCCACACCTGCCCTAACAGGCGCCCCCCCTGGGTACATTTGGATCACCGAGCCGTAGCCTGGAGGAGGAATAAAGAGGGCTTAATGACATAATAGGGACAGAAAACAAAGACAAACAGCTCACAGAATGAATGTACCTCCCATCCTTTCCATGATGGCTCCCATTACAAGTCCAGCGCAAGTTTCAAACACCAGAATCTTACTTCCCGCATGGATGTTTCCCAGAGTCAGCATCTGGGCAAGTGTGTCATACCTCAGGTGACTGCAGCACACAAAAAAAGAGGCCATAGTCATGCCACCATTAAAATTATTATTATTATTTTTTTATTTCAAGTGGACAGCCCTTCAATACGCCGACTCACCAAATCTTCCCTGGTTCGCGGCCATGATACATCATAGCCAGGATGCGGCAAGTTGGCTTCAGGATCGTCACAGCATTTTCATACCTAGAGAAGTACAAAGTGGGAATAGGTGGCAACGGCAAATACAATGGTCCACATCAATCTGCGTTGACAACAGACTGTGACTCACTTCTTTTTCTTCTTCTCGATGTACTTATCCTGGGCATATTCGGTCTTATTATTGAAGGTGGAGCTGTGTTCTATGAGCTGCTGAATGATTTCCTGTGGACCAAGAATACATACTGCATCTCAACTCAACTGCCGAAACCATCAATACCATCCAGGTTTTTGTAGTAGAAACCCAGCAGAAGTGATGGGACAGCAGTGCTTTAGAGCACTGTGGCACGGGAGCAACATAGGCTGCTGTCCTGATGTGCGTCTCATGGAGGATCTGGTCAAATTCAGACTTTTTTAGATCCGATCTGCATTGGTGTTTAGATTTGATTAAGGTGTGCAATTCAACTTAATGCTGTTTACAGATTTTTTTAAGAAGCAGCATTAAAATCGAAATACAGTAGAACCCCTACTTACGATTGCCTAAAAATACGATTTTTCCAACACACAAAGGGAAATTCGATCATATATTTGAATCCATACCATAAGTAAATTTCCAACATACACGTATGACATTGAAGTCATAGAAAAAAACAATATCAACATTAAATAGAAATAAGCGTGCATTTGTTTTACTACAATGTGCAGTAAATTATCTGCAGTATTTATTAAGGAGTTATGGTAGGTTTTTGGGCTGTGGAATGAATTATGCAAATTACAGTGTGTTCTTATGCAAATATTTGAAACAACATACAAATATTTTAACAGTAGGTCTCGGAACAAATTAAATTCGTATGTAGAGGTTATACTGTAATCTGGTAAATGTGAATTTTGGTTATCCATGAATTCTTATGAAAATAGAATATCTTTCAACGTTGGTTGAATATTTCCCCATGTGCATATGGATCCAAAGTTACTTTCCTACCGTAGGCTTCAGATTTTTCTCTTTCAGTATCTCGATGTCGTCCCTGGTCAGTGTTTGTGACTTGCCGTCATCAATAATGTTTCTGTTGTCTGCCCCTGTCACCTTTGTGTCTGGGAACAGACATACCACTTTTATGTCCAAATGTTGGGGGGAAAAATGCCGATTAGTATTCCATCTCACATTGCGAGATGCCACTGGCAGCATAGTAAACGAAACGCTGCTTTACTCACCTGCGGGGCTCTCGGTGTCCTCGTCTTCCTTTGGTTGCAGGTTGCCACCTGCCAAAATCTCAAACGTTGTATTGTACAAATTCCCCACAGAATTGTCCAGAAAGATCCACTGCTTCTCGAAAATCACCTTCCTGTGTGGAAGTGGACAGTTAGCTTCACTCTTTAGCCGCGTCAGTTCTCGCGTTTAATTAGTCTAAATCAATAGACAGCCTGAAACTCAATTCGCTAGAATACGCCAACAGAAAGTTTTGACTTACGTCTTTGGCTGAATTTGGACAGCCTTGTAGATGCACCCTCGTTGTAACACCACGTAGTCGCCCTCTTTGATTCTGTTCTGATAATCATCGTCCTCAGTGTCCGCCATTAGAAACCTGATAAATTAGCCCACTTCTTGGCAAACAGTAAAAACAGTTTGCCTTGACCAAAATATATTCAACGCAAGGAGTAGCTTAAATAAGACTCAACACTGTACTGGAGCGTACGCAAAATATCGTGGTATTTTTTCCACGTGTTAGCTCACAATTCACTAGCCTCTCAGGATGACTGAACGATAGCAGAATGTCACGAGCAACGTCCGGAACATCCGTTTGCGCCTGTGATTGGCTGAATTTCAGATTCCTGGCCAATAGGAGCAAAGTGAGGGTAAAATCGTAGATTCCAGAATAATCGATAGGTGGAATGGATCAGGTAAGAGGATGGGAGCGCTTTCGAGGGGGATTTGTCAAATATGTAACTTTCACAGAACAATGGAAACAGTGAAACAACTAGTTTTGTAAATATATTTTTAAAAAGCTCATCTTTCAGAGAGATCAACAGCATAACCGTTTTTAACTTCTCGCCGTTTATGTTTGATGAATTAATGATTTTAATGAGATCATTTAAACAGATTAAACTAACTCTTTGTAAATGCAACTTTATGCAACCTATCCACTCTCCCACTTTCTAACAAAAGGAGGACTTTAAATCTGTATTTCCAGAGACACAATTGCACAGTGCCACCCTGACATAAGAAACAATTAAGGGAATTAAAAATAGATATGTGATTCTAATTTGAGGAAATCATTTGAGGCTTAACTGCAAATCTGACAAGAAAAGCCACATCCTCAAAACATGTTTCATGTTTGTTTTTTTTATTTATACTTTTTATATAAAGCTTATCACAATTTGGCGATCATATAAAATCTAAAGAGGAAACAAGTTTTTTTTGTTGCTATTTTTTTTCTTTATTGCTTTAGTTAAGGAATTTTTTTCTTAGTACAAAGGCCAACTTCTGCCAGATAACTAAGATTTAAGAAACAGATATTAACTACATATTTACAAAGCCATTATCTTCTGTATATGCAATGGTAAAAACAAATTAAGATATTTTCCTGTAAGCAAAACTGTGTTAGTTCTATATGTGACCACTACAGAGTTTACTCTTCTTGGAACTGAGTTTATGGCTGCTGATGCAGTTCTTTTGCACCATTACATGTCAAAACTAAACAAGGAAAGCAGTAGAAGATGGAGTTGCTGTTTTTTCTTTGGTCATTCTTGGCCTCCTGTAAGTTTGTGGAACATTTCTTCGTCTAGAGTTTCGTTCTGGTCTTTAGATCGTGTGGAGAGGAAGATGTACCCGCCGATGAACTCATGGACGACCTTGCAGTTGCAGCTCACACAGCAGAAAGCTATTGTCACATTTTGGTCAAATTCTATCGTGACCTGGAATTACACACAAAGAGACAGAGGATTTAAGTCTGTACAATAGTGCTGTCTTTGTAAAACGCTTTTGAATTGTTTTCTGCTCATGCAATGATCCCGAACCTGTTTTATCTCCCAGTTTACGTTCCACTGCTTCATGTTGGCAAACCTCCATGTTGTGATGGGCAAGCCAGAGGACATGTCAAGACGAATCAGGCGGTTACATGAAATTCCCAGAATTTCATCTTTTTTGCTACCTTTGAATCTGTTAAATGAATAAATAAGTAAATGCAGAACCTCTTAAATATATGTATCAGTATCACCCATGGAATGCCTGTAAAGAATAAGAATATGCATGGTACCTGACAATGTAGTAGTTGATGCCAAACTCTGGAAGTGACTGCCAGGCCTGGATAAAGCGCATCTTGGCCTCCATAAGGGACAGCTGTGATATGTTTTGATGGGCCTCCAAGATTCGTGCAGTCAGCTTGATGTAAACGCAACCAACAAAAAGCAATATTTAGTCATGACAAGTCATTTAAGGCAAAGTCAGGTGTGTTTTGGGCAGCCCCCTAACAAACCTGCTTGGTCTTGTGCTTCTTGCTGTATCGTGGAGAGACAAAACATTCAGCATTCATCTCCATAGTGTCAATGTCAGGGGCTGTTTGGCCAGGAGGGGGAGCCAGGCTCTTCATTTGCAGAAAGGATTGGATATTCCGCACTTCTGATTTGTAAGAGCTGTAGGCCATCGTCTTGCCCTTTGAGGCGAGGATGCATGCAGCTTTCCACTTGGCGTACTGCGTTTCCTGCATCGGTGGAAAGAGGCTGCATCACCGCACAGTCTGCATCACAATGCTTATATGGGAAGATGATAAAAAAAAATAAAGGAAGAAGAAAGACCTCTTAACCACATGGGTGAGGAGGAGGACCTTACATTGTCACATCTAATGTACACCTCATTCATGCCATCAGCAACTGGGAGCAGGAGCTTGATGCCAAACTTCTTGTCGGTAACATTGACGTCGGGGACCACCTCACAGCCTGTTGATTTCAGATACCACAAGACTTTTATTATTATTTAACTTTTTTACTCTCATTCATCTTCATATAACAAGGAAATCTAAATCCTTTGTTTTCTAGATTATGAGGAGAATAGTCAAACCATAACACAGCAGTGAGGCTTAAATTCCAGAGTTAATCTCAAAGGTATTTCCAAAATAATTATTTATTTACATGATTATCACTGACCTCGGAGGTGAAGCTGCTCTATTGGCTCTCCATTGGACGACTCCTTGTTCTTATAGTAAGAGATGGTGGTATCCTTGAATACAAACCAGTACTCTTTGTATGGTCTCAGGGTCAGTCTCTTAGGTCTGATTCAATATAGAAATACATGCAAGGGCAAGAAATAAAAACTCTTTTTCATTTTCAAGTAACAGGATGCATGTGCAAATCTTAAATCTGTAAACTTAGATTTCCCCATTATAATTTTTAAAGCTTAAACCCCCAACTAAGGCTGGTTAAACTGGACATGAAACTGTAAAGACAGAAAAACATTCTGCAGGGGTAGATAATTAGGACTTTACTTCAGTAATTACGCATAAAGGTGAGCTTACCTAAACAGCCGGAGGGTATCCGCCAGTTTCGGAATGTCTGTAATGTCTTCCTGAAGGCAAAATAAACAACTGTCAATTATCCTGCCTCTTTGTGCGACATCATGATGTTGAGACGCGCAATCAGTTAAGGCCCACTACCAACTTTAGCTTAAGAGAAGGTGTTCAGCTTGAGTAAAATTGACATTCTCACTTTTCCAAGTGACATTTTTCCAAAAGCCTACTTACCAGAATCTTGTCTGTGTGACCGCCTTCGAGTGTCACCTCCAGGTTAGACAGCGCTGCCTCTACTTCATCAACTTCTGGTTCATTGGAATGGTCCAGTGGCTCACTCGACATAGTCAGCTTGCAGATGTGATACTAAGAAGGAACGTTTTTAAATCTTAAATGGAATATAATAGCAAAGATTGAACAGTTTTGCAACAAGTAAGTTTGAGCCATGATGAATATCTCTAACTTTACTAGTTAAACAAAACTCTGGCATGAATCAGAGGGAGGTCTGAGCACAGCCCTGCTCACCAGACATTGCACCAGTGTGTAGGTGAGTGCAACTCTCTGTAATTTCTGAATCACCGTCTCAAAATAAGAGCCAGGGATGGGCGGAAATTTAAACACAGTGTATGTTTCATCAACGAATTCTGCTAATACTTAGTTTCTTAAAGCATTTTCTTTTCCCTGGTCAGTTATCATTCCTACTATATTAGCCTCTAAGGGTTTCTTCTTATGCATTTACCTCCACCTACACCGCCAATTCTTCTTCAGCAGTGGGAATTTTTTCATGTCCCAACAAGCCCAAACATAGATTTAGACACCAATCTTACTCTCCTGTTCTCTGAGCTTAGACACATAAAGGATACTTGAATTAAAACTAATCTAGGCCATATTTATGCATCCCTGGATGAGAGTGCCTCATGATTACAAGCCTGCTAGAATCAGGATGTAAATATAAAAAAGTATAAAATAATGAAGAATAAATGTAATCAAATAAATAATAATTTAATGGTGTTAATAATTTTGGCCCATTACAAGTACATTTAGTCATTTTAAGACATTATTTAAATTTGCAATACTTTATACATTTTTAGAATACACTTCTCATTGTTCATTAGAGTTAAAGAATAATAACCCTATTTGAAGTTGCAAATATCTTTTGTGTCCATAGAATAGAATTTTAAAGTGATTGTTTTTCTGCAAGGACATTTAAATATTGATTTAATAAAAGGAAGGGTTGGTGTATGAAGTGCCTAGCTTTCTGTCAAAATATGGTTTTGACAAATAGTAATTTAATGATAGTACTTTGTAATCTTAGATTAGGGATGCAGGCGAAATGAGACTATTTCAGACATGTCAAAAGTAGTCCTTTTGCTTGAAAGTGGAGCATGCCTCACCTGTATTGAAGCAAACATCAGCATTTCTTCATCAGTGCAGTCAATCTCCTCCAACAGGATGGACCACCGTGCCTGTTCATATAGCTGTGTTATCCTGACAGCATCATACTAAAACACAAAAACACACACACTAAACACTCGTTCAGACCACCCTGCTCCTATTTCAGGACATTAGATGAACATTTTCCTACTTTAGGATTAAGATCGAAGAAGACATTGTACTTGAAGCGGAGCAACAGCTTGTCATCATCCTGAATGTCTTGTTCCATGAGGGAACGAGATGAATCCAACCACCTGAAAATGGAAATCCCCAGTCAGACAAGCTGAAGAAATGAAATACAAATCCAACTACAAGTTAGAAATATATTGTCAATCGAAAAGCAGCAGATTCTACCCTGCGTTGTTGACTGCTTTGTCCACTAGAGACAGAGGCTGGTACATCTTCACCAGCTCAGCAGGAGGCAGATTTGGCTGACTTTCAGCCAGTGGGTTTTCTCCAAACCAGAGGCTGGTGGCAGACATTGGCATCCCGTTCTCTGGGTCATAGGTTGCTGTCATCGTCTTACTGTACATGGGGCCTCGTTTGGAGATAATTAAAGATTACTAATAACAATAAGGCATACACAACTCTAAGATTTAGCATAGCTTTATAATCAACTGAATACAAATTTATACTGAAGGTCTCATTATGCTAAATGAAGCTAGAAAATTTATTTTCAGATGCATCGGACGCTTTGCTGATGGCGTTATGCCATCTTAGCATTGAATGTACTGCAGTTCCCAGTACATTCAATTTTCCATCCTCTTTTAAAACAGCAAATAAGGCAAAAATGATAGCTCCTCTAGACCTGGACAGTAATCTGAATGTGGAAATCATAGAAATTCTGATGCTCCTGGGGAAATCCCAAACACTCATGGTCACAATCACACATATCAAACTGTGAATAATGTTGAAATCCTATTATCTTTAATTGGATCACCAAAGAGTTCTTGTTTCCTTAATCTTCCACAATTTACAAGATACAACCAAAATTACTCACAAAACCTTTTTTTCTCATAACAAAACACACACACAATCTCAGTTTCTTTTCCTTTGCATCAGTGGAACTCTTCACAACATTCTGTTTATTGAAGTAATTGAATAAAAGACTTGATGCAACCAATGAATTCACACAATTAACAAAGACAGCTCGGTTAATCAAACCACTAAATGCGTATTTGCAGGGTTCTTTCTGTCTTTATGGTGCACCAGAGCAGGTGTTTGTGTGTGGTGAAATATAAGTTTTAGACTAAGACTTTAGATTTTGAATTACCTGTCCCTCCTTGACCCCTGTTAAGTAAATCCCAGATGTCCCAGATGTCATCTTGAGGTGAGTTCTTCTCTTTCTTCTTTTTCTTTTTGGAGGGATCATCTGGAGGCTTGAGCAGGGACAGTTCCTCCGATCTCCTTATGTCTGCAATGGAGCAAAGAGTATTTCTGTCTTACCAGGAGGAACATTCAAAGCAAATGAATCTTGATTTATCCGATTAAAACACGTCAGACCAGTGGGGATAAGCTTTGGGCATAGAGGAACTCACTCAATACATTGCAGATTTCTGCCACCGCCTTAAAGACCATGCTGGAGAAGCAGACGGTCATTTTGATGGTTTTCATATTGGGAAGCTGCAGCAGCAGGGGTTTGTGCTGGGGCGTGTAGCGCAGGTCAGCGTCAGCCTTTGGAGCCAGATTCATTCAAAGATCAGAAACAAAATCAATAATCCCTCTCACAATACATGGACTGGTCCTAGGCTGTGTGTGAAGAGAACTTATTATAGTCTTATTATAGTCTTTGCTCACTTTCAATACAATCTTGAAATGCTTGGAATAATTTAGCAAAGTAGGGATGAGTATAAGACAGCAAATACATTATTCAGCTGGGGAATGTTGATATCAGCTTTACACATATTCTGAATGTGACATGTCTTTGGGTGCTTGTTTCCACATTAAAATCTGACATTGTGCAATAGTTCATGTTTAAACAGTGCATGACTGCAATTAATGCAAAAGTTAAATGTGAATATAACACATACCAAGTGACACAGAACATAGTTAGAAGGATGAGCAATTGGTATGTCAGCTATAAATATTTCCCAACACATTAAGAATCTGTAAGCACAAACAGGATTTTCTGACTGTGGAGAACATTCCTACAGGAACTGAAGCACCTTTGAATATAATTACAGGGAAAGGGAATTGTTTGGGGTTCAAGATGCTCAAGCTGGTGTTACCTGAATTCCATACTTATCCAAAGTCCAGTGTGTCCTGAGCAGCCAGCACTTTCTCTGCTCCCACCACAGTGCGTGGTCTGACCAGTCCTGAGGAGCCTCTGCAGAAAATATTAGGTCAAACTAATATTAATATTGCACCATTTACATATCTTGAAACCATTGCTGTGATTTTTGTCCTGCTTTCCTCGTGTTTCGTGCTTGATTTACTGATTCAACAAACCCAAACTTTATTCTCATTTGGCCCTCGCCAGGCATTATTCTTTAATCCTAGATAACAAATCACGCTGTCTGGCTCCATAGCAAACTATTTCAAAAACACAGAAACACTCCCATTACTCAACGGTATCTAGTAAAGTGGGATTTAATGAGCCCTCGTGACATCATCTTGGAATACTGCATTGAAGGGCATCTATTGATGACAAGCTGTTGATTCATTTATTATGTCTCATGTTTTGAAGCAGCCTTCCTTGAGTTGCCTTCATGCTAGCCTCTTTAGCGCCTCTGTTTTTACAGGAGACAGTAAAGAGATATCAGATCAGGCTCTCTCTAAACTTTGCCCCCTGTGGCTATGCAAGTCAATGTATTGTGACCAGACAATGGCCCTAAGGTGTAGAAACAGGCAGGGCAAACAAGGGTGTGTCCTCACTAAGAAACCTGTTGCGCTGGTAGTTTCTTCTCTTAAAACACCAGTTACAGTAAAGAAAATAAAGTTTCAAATACCATTCTGAGTTCAGTGCTTCTCTTATTTTTTCAGTGTTCACACATATTCATCCACCACGATGACGTTTCCCACCCAATTGCGACACTTACTGATTTTCTCCACCAACTTAAGCATGAGTCCTCCAATGTGCAAGTCTCCCTTCACCCTTAGTTTAAATTTCATGGACTCATCCCCCTGTTTTTGATCCACCTGCACAGACAGCTCCCATGATGTTTCTCCAATCTCTGCAGCTTTAATCATGGCCCTGTTCTAAAAAGATAGAGGTGAGAGTGAGCATAAATGATAGTCAGAGAGCTCCATGATGCAGAAGTGAGTATATATAACGGTATTCTCAAATATTTTCCTGCTCCCTTTGTTGGGAGTGTGAGCGAACGTGGGGTAAATCACGTCTCTGCAGATTAGGTGTTTCCCAACATCATGATTAGTGCAAAAGCAGAACTCTTTTTTTGTGAGAGGCCTTGAATGAAACAGATTTTAGCTGCTTCTGCTGCAGCGTCTCTGCAACGATACTACAGACCCCCAAAAGGCTCTTTTCAACAAAGACCTTTATAAATAAGAAATCAGCGTACACACAGGCGGCTTGAGTCACAGTCTTAGACCACAAAGACTGCGGGTCTCTCTCTCTTGGTTTGCTGTACATTTTGGTCGATAATGGCAGAGATCTGATGGATCATTGGCTGCCTTTAATGAAGCAGAGGGAACAGATAAGACATCAGGCAGGAAAAAAGGGAGAAGAGGAGGGGAGGAGGAGCAAGAAATGTACAGCTGTGGAATGTGTGACGAGCAGGGACACGAATCTGGTGTAGGGGAGACCATGCAAAACAACAATCCCCGAACGGTGCATCAGTGTGTGAAATACTGTGAATACACAAACTTGGCAAAAACTAAACGAGACCAGAGTATCACCGGAAATATCTCTTCCACTAGCAAAATGCAGCCCAGCGGGAGTGAGCGTTTCTTGAAACTGTTTTGCCAGGAGGGTAGATTTAATGAACACTCGCTGTACTCTGTGTGCTGCTGCTGCTGTAAAGAGCACACCTAACAGTTGGAATCTCCATGCCCTCTAAGGGAGGCTTGCTGAGATGTGTTACAGCATGATTAACCAAGTCCGAATAATAACACTACCTGCAAAAAGAACAGAAAGTGACGTGGTGAAATAGTTCAAACAAAACAAATGTACAGTTTACTAACATAAAATGCCATGATCTCTCATTAAAACTCGCTATTCTTTTCAACACATTGGACCATGCTCGTCAGGATCAGTCAATACTTTCCCTTTCTTGAATTCTTTGTTAATTGATAATAATAATAATAATAAAGAGTCATACTGGTTTGATACACATCTTTAAAATGTGCTTATATCCCGTCCTAGTCCAATATTCCAGCACCTCGTTCACTCCGTATCGTGTTGGCCTAACCCAGTTTTAGCACACCTGGACCGTGTGACCATGTGATTTAATCCAATCCCCTGCCAGATGAGCAGGTAACAGTGTCCCAGCCGTGATGGCGCGTGAGTTTGTAAAAATATGAAAACAAGCTTACCTCGACTCAAAGTTTTCTGTCGTTGAGCTATTCCTAGAAAAAATCCCCGTCAAAAGGACCACAGAATAGTGTTGGCGTGGGAGATAAACACGCCCAGTTCAGACAGGTAAGGGAGTGGAGATGGAAACGTAGAGGGAAGTGGCCACACGAATGAGTAACCGAAGTGACTAACGACCCGCGAGCGTGTTTAATTATTTGTAATAAATAGTTTCATTCGTGGTGGCCTCATTTAGGGTGAGTGAAGTATAAACTGTCAAATGGTGAGGAAATTGGTTGGCTGACAATTACCGGAGGATACAACAAGCACCTTCTCTTCTTTAAGCGAGGCTTCCATTACCGTTGTTTCTGACAGCGTCTTTCCATCATGGCGACACCTTCCAAAGTTTGAGAAAGTAGAACTGTGTAGTTGTTTTGAAAGTACCCCCAGCTCCCGCCTCATTACACGTATCAATTCACAACATTGCCTGAAATTGTCTTTCTTAAGACTAAACTAAATTCAATTAATTGAACACGAAATGGTTCAACAGTAGTCTACAATTAGATTTTTGTACTCTTACAAAACAATATGTGACACAAAAAAACAAAACAAAGTAGCAAGCATCCACATTTATCAAAGCAAAGTTAAGTTGATAGTATATATTGTATGAATGTATATTTGAGTGTTTTGTTTTTCCTTTATTTTTCATTTGGAAAAAAGCAAGCATACAACACGATGAACTATGATTTACCCAAGTCCAGCATGCCTGCCTCTTGTAATGCCCACATCTTCCTGAATGAGTCTATCAAGATAAATCACCAGCATTAATCCGAATATTGCTGGTAGTTTCTAAAACTACAGTGACATATTTACTATGCCGAAGGCACACCTTTTCTTTTTAAACTTTTGTGTAAATATTCTGCTGACCCCCAGCCAGCCTTCCTTAACTGTCGCCACTTTTGTAGTTGTTTAGGATTGATCAAATTGCTTTTGTACAGTTAGTTATTCTTTCCACAGATGCGCCCATGTGTGAAGCATGCAATCCTTTGGTTTATACTGGTAAGTCCATGCGTTATGTTACTGAGAGTGGGCATCAGCCTCATGTAGGTTGGTGGAAAGACATGTAAATGAAATTGGTTTTCTCCCTCTAAAAGCAATAGATCTGTTGACTCAAAGGTTAAAGTTCAAGATAAAGTTACAGTTTGAGTTCCTACATTTTTTTTACTGGAAGACAGTAATTAATCAGAAAAATTTAAATGGAAAATGAGAAAGTGAGACTAAAACAAATTATTTTTCACCACTGTCAAAGAAACCATGTTAGAAAAGAAGTTGAATGTTCTATCATGAGGACTTAAAATAATGAATAAAGAATTAATCATTTTCTAATATTGTCTAACTGGAAGGAAATGTTTTTGAAGTACTCAATAATGTCTGATTATCTTCTGAACTACTTCTGTTGAGCAGATGGTAGCCTCACCAAACCAGAAACCATTTTGCTTCCACATGGTGGCACTGTTGGCTTATACCAGAGTATGAGGAGGAATAAGTGAATGAACTTTGAAAAAAGGATCATTATTATTTCTACGTATTTATTTCCTTTTTTTGTGAAAAGGATCTCTGTCAATGCCTAATTTAAAATATTTTGCACTGGCATCAACCATGAATCTGTTGAGAAGGCCAGATTTCTATGTATCAACAATTAGATGATAATCTAATTTTAATAGAATTCATCCCTGTCTTTTAAAGATATAATAATCTTCTAACAAAGACTGCAAAAGCTGTCATTTGTCACTGTTATCCCAACTGCATAATGAAAGCTAGATTATGCTTTTCCAGACCAATTTGAAGGATATATCTCCAATAGAAGAAATCTTATGCTTTTAGTTTATTTAGGAGGACTGATGTTAGACTCAGCAGCAGGAGAAAAGTCCTAGAACACTATTCAAGGACACTCAGCATGTGGGTGCTTGCCAACACGCAAAGTTTAGGCCAAGACACCCTAGTTCAAGGACACTTTTTCTGACCATTTGACCATTTTGACCACACCCTACAGAACGGGAGTAGCAAATATGCCTGTGAGTGTGTTTAGGCACTCTGTTCCATAAGTTCAGTACTGGCACAAGAGGTTGCCTTCAGTAATTGCTTAAGAGAGGAAATGTAAATTCCATAACAAAAACAAACAAATAAACCCTGAACCTCATAAACTCGACAGTGGTGTAAGAGCACATGGAAAATACCACAATTTGGACCCGTCAGACCTGGACACCATGCCTGTGTCATCATGACACCTGGAGTTCCAATAGCAGCTTGCTGCGTACAGCTGAAAAAAAAGACAAAAATCAACTTTACTGCAGTGCCTTGGAGAATGATAAAATACAGTCTTTAAAGTGATTGAGTGAGAGACGGGGAGGGGGGGGCGACTTTTTGACTGTGGTTTTAGACAGTAATTTACATCCACTACCTGAAGCTGGTCTGAACACACTTGGAAGCGGGTGGGAAACGACATCTGTTGAAGCCTTCGTCGGTGCTCTGTATTTATGGAAAGAGAAACCTCCCGGTGACCTGGGAACACGCTTACCCAATTAGCAGCCTCGCCGACGGATCAAATGGAAGTGAAAACATTCACTGCCGTGACGGAGACGCATCACAATGCTCCATTCATGCTGGCGAGTTGTACGCTTAGAGGGTAAAGTGGAGTGGTGGTGGTGGTTGTGGGGGGGGGGGGGGTCTTTTAGCCCCGTAGTGGGTAGGTGGGATAAGTGAGGGGGAGAAATGAATACAACAAGAAACTTAACTTACCTCACCACTTTCTTTCTTCCGTTGCAGCGTAGGCTTCATTCATGACATACTATGGATTCAGAGGTAAACACTATTCAAAGGTGTTGTTTTCATAAGGTTACCGACCACCGCTCACCTCAACATTCCATATTTCCTTAATGTCAGTCCCTACATCCCTGTTAGATGCTGCAATTTCTACAGTCTGACACAGCTATGAGTTTTGTCCTGGGGGCTGATGGGGTCAGAGACCCTGAGAAACAGTATTAGAAGTGAGGTTCTTGACAGCACAGGGCTCTGGGGAACAAAGAGTAGTCTGCCTTATGGGCTGGAAAGTGTTACAGGTCTTATTCAGTTTCTTCCTTTGAAGCTGTTAAAGTCCTGGCATGTCTGCTTCCCCCTTACCTTTCATGAAAATAGTTTTATTCATATGCCACAAACCTCCATAGCTATTATGAAATTCCATACTAGATCATAAAAAAGTGAGAAAGAAGAACCTGCAGCTGGCAGATTATTTGTTTTCCAAATGTCAGGATAATTAGAAATTTGGGCATGATGAGCGTCAAGACAATCCAGGTGTACGAGCAGAGGGCTAGACAAGGGGGTTGATAAGTCTCTGTGCCTAAATATTTTCGCATTCTAGAAAAGTCTCTGTTGACATTTTTTTCCCAACACAGGCCAGAACTGTTTGATTTAATTTTAGTTTTTCAAAAATAAAAAAAAAGTAAAATAAAAAAAGCAGTTTAAGCATCCATCTGAATTTTCCACTCTGTTAAAACCAAGACCTGTTATGCTTTTTACTGTTGCCCTCTGCTTGCATGGAAACATCTGATAGAAATAAAAGTTTTCATGGTGTCAGGTCAGATACCCATAAATACAGGTTGTCAATGCAGTGTGACCCTCGCATCTAGAAAAGAGGCTGTTCTGAAGTGTGGTTTGGAAGAAGATATCATGTGTTTAAAGATTATGCTTCTTTCTGAAAAGTGGCTACTGTAAAACGGCTTCCATCGCACAGTATCGCTTTACCTGTCACACGCCATATTTCATTCCTTTACTGCCTGAAACATAAAAGTTATAGATGAACACGGCCATTGTGATAGATGGGGATCATTTGCCACAGGCATATATATTCATGCCTGGATAGATTGGTGACATTTTCACATATAAGCCTGATAAGTTCAGCGTCCTTTACTAGTCAGGGTCTCTCTGTTTGACTTCAGCAGGTGTGCGTAAAAATTTGACGCAGCTGACATTTCTGTTCCTATGTGAATATCAACCATGTTGAATAAAGACATATTCTATATAGTGACTTTTATTAGGTTTGTCAGGGAGTGCAAAGACACAAAAGGAGCACAGTCAATATTCTATCCCAATGAAATTATTCCTTTTCATGCAGGTGATGAGCGCAGTGGATTTTTGTTGATGCCGCACATGTGGACGGAAGTATTCAGGTGACGACTAGCCACGTCCACCCTCTGACACCAGCCTTGAAGTCACCCCTACTCATCTCACAGGTACTGCCTAAAAGCAAATGTCGTGTTGTGTTCCTTTCCTCAACACACCAATTTGCCAACCGCTCGTGAATGGATGCCATTTTGAAACATGCAAATATGGGTCGCCTCTGCCTGTATCAGCTGATGCAGATCAGTGTTGGTTTTGGCTGGGCCTTAAAGACCTGAGGGGAGAAAGCCGTACTGAGAGTTAGAAAAGGTCGCATAAACTCTAGCAGGATTACTTTACCAACACTTTCCATGGCTGAGATCCTGTGAATAGATCCATTGTGGGGTGGGTCCCTGCTCTGCAGAAACCAAACCCTGTCAGGATCCAGTTCATTAGCACCTAGTTTACTGTTTGAAGTCAGTTATTTATCTACTGTCTAAGGGGGAACCCCGCTCAGATATATGCAACTATGTGCATGGCTATGTATGTATGCTTTCACTTTCATGCATTTCCATATGCAGCCATTTATTATGTACTTGTATAACTGTCTCAATGACTCAATAGATTCACAGTGGGGTTTCTGAAGTAAATGGCTCCAGAGCAAATAAAACTTTCCATGGTGCAATAAAATGTATAGAGAATGAACAGGGGGTACATTGGTGCAGTTCCAAAGGTGTGAAACAACAGAGAATTTATATAGAAAACATGTCTATATGAGCTTGATGTATTTATGTCCTTACAGTCAATGACCATGACTAAATAAAGGAAACATCACTAGCATTAGAACTTTGAAATGATAAACAAAATGCATTAATATTTTAACACACTATCCTCAGAAGTCATCAAGTTTGAAAACAAAACAAACAAAGCTTAATGAACCTATACAGATTGTGAAGGAAATGCTCCTAAGGTTAAAACAAAGTCATTGTTTTAGCAGAAGTCTGTCGTCCTGAGATATTCCACTGTATTTCTAACTATCGTGTGAGAGTGCCTGTGTGTGTTTTTGCCTTTCTTTTGTGATCTGTTTGTTCGTTGGAACATGTCCCTTTGCCTCTGGTCAGACAAAAGTGCCGCGTTGAGCAAAACCTCCACTCCACTTTTATGGTCTGTGTGGGCTGTCCTATTTGTACATGCTTAGAGCAAATTAGACCAGCAGCTGTGTATGGTCATCCTATTCCATTTTGGCTTTTCATGACAAAAATATTCTACCGTAAACCTTGCAGTCGAAGTCCAGAAATACCGAGCCTGTCTCCTCTTTCACTGACACCTTCTGATATTTACAAGAAGTACGTCCAATTCCTAGTCTTGAAAGATTTAGTGAAATAGAATAAAAGGTTGTAATAAATCGAGCAGATTGGTGGAAAAAAAAAACAAGTTGGGAAGGGGTGCCAAACAGACAGAGATTGACCACCCGATGCAAATGTTTTCCATGTGTATAGGGATAATATGTACAGCAAAATGAGTTTAAGGGGATCGGAGAAAGGAGGCTGCACCTGTTGTGAGGTGATGATCTACCCCAGGTGATGTCAGCTTTTAGGCCGTCATGGTGCTTTAGACATCAATGAACTACAAATGGGATAAATCATTGGCACAGATTTAGAAATATGTTGAAAGTTCACTCTGAATTTAAAGAGAAAACTTTTTTTATATTCACATAGTGCAAGAAGAAAGATTGACAGTTTGTTGAGGATCACATCAGGCCTCGACATACGTTCATTTGACAATATTCTGAAAAGCATAAAGTAACTTAATTAATAACTTAACTTAATATCCATGCTCTTATGAGTCAAAGACAGTCACAGAGGTGATCTGAAAATATTTCAGTTTTTGTATTTTGAGGTAAGCTTAAATCCATACATGCATGCCCGAATGGCATACACTGAGATTGAGTGTACTTTTCAATATTTTATAAAATGTCATACACCTGCGTGATTTACATTGATCACTCAAGCCTCCCGTGATGTATGCAGACAGTTGGGAAAAGTGGTGGATAAATATGTTTTCTGACAGGGTGACAGGAATAAGGAATAGTCCCCGCTCGGAATTGAGTTCTTAAGCTAATCATCCATGATTATAGGACTAGAAGCCAAAATACACTGGATGTGAAAGAGGCTGTTTTCATCTGCATGCTGTTGCAGAAAGACAGGCTGACAGTGTTACCTATTCTCCTGAGGGCTCTCACTCTCCTTCTGCCTCAGTTTGACTGGCCTGCAGTAGGTCTCGTAGCCCCAAGACACTGTCCTGGGAGACCTGGACAACATTGGCAGCAGGCAGCCTAGCGGTGTCATTTCACTGCTGTAAGCTGGACAAAAGCGCCTCTTGTTGTCACAAGCTGTTTGTGGTGCTGCTTTCCCAGCCCCATGGAAAGGAAAGGAAAGGACGGCCAATGACCAACGCCAAACAAACCTGCTCCAGCTCACCTGTGCAGTGAATGCTGGAACCGATTGACCCAGATCTGGATGGAAACCATTGCAAATATTTCCCAGCAAGGTCTGTGGAAGAAACATTTAACAGGGCTCTCAGCAGGGAATTTAATGAACTGAAAATGGCTTTGACTCCCTCTAGTTTGTGTCATCTGTTCCTATGAAATAGTAAACAGTGTCACTACCTTCAAACTATTCAGCATAATACTTTTTCAACTTGTAGTGCAGTTGAACATTGGTACCATGATTTGATGGCGTGTACATTTTATGATCATCACAGCACTTCCAAAACAATTATTTTGTGCACGAGAGTAAGGTATGAGAATGTTGGCATGCTTAGAAGCAGCATTGTTGCAGTGAATCCGTTTATTGCACTGTACAGGGATGGTAGCAAGGCAAATTTATTTTGCTCACAACTACAGCTCAGTTTGAAAGTACAAGCCAAGCTGCAAATATTTTGCTTGGCTACAGAAAGTGAATTATATTGGCTCAGAAAGCTTAGAAATAAAAAACGGCAACCTTGGGAACAATTATGCAAAGAGAAACATGGTTAAACCAAGTGCTACTGGTTTTCCATTCCACCCATTGGTGGGAGGAGATTAAAAAAAGGAAAAAAACTGATATAACAGAGTTTATCCATGGCAATAAATATGTTGAAGCATTCATCCAAACCATGGCAGTTGTTGCGACAGCTCATTTTCGTAATGCTGTATACTGTCTTTGTGTTACACACAGCTGTAGAAGTGAACACATCTGATGTGCGGTTCATTCATGTGAACCGAAGGCTGTGGTGACTTGATGGTCCATTTCAGTCACAAATGAAATCCTTTAAAAGATAACATTTAATAAATATTTTTCCTCTCTCTTAAAAAAAACATTTTTTTCCCCCTGTTTGTTTGGTTGGTTGTTACTTTTCCCTCAAAGTTAATCTAGAGCAATAAAGAGGGGTCAGTTGTTTAATGCTAACAGCTCTATTACAATCAAAAATCATATAACAGAGTTAAAATGGTGAACCTCTGCACACGGCTCCATCAAAAACTTGCCGACAGCGGTTGGCAAAATTGGGTGCGAACAGAACCGTATGTGCACGCAGGCAACTGTGTGACAGAGCACACTGATGATATATTGACTTCTGCCACAGTTTCTCTGTAAAACACTGCACGTTTATATAACTTTTAGATAACCTTTGGAATAGTTTCTTATTATCAGTTGTTTAAGTCCCCCCTGTGGAACAAAGGAATCAAAAACTCTATTGCTCTCCCTCACAGACACATTAATATGGTTATCTGGCTACCTAGCTGACCATAACGCACATCTTTGGGCCAGATTTATTTGTTCACAGCTGAGTCTCAGAAGAAAGGGAGAACCAGTTTAGAAAAGGGCCAGCTTTGACAATTTTCACACAAAGACAGCACTGTTGGCTAACAGTGAGCTGCCTGTTTTTGGGAGGTTTGCACTGTTCCTGGGGCCCATTTCATGGAACAGTTAGCAAGGCCAAAGGCAACCCATGGACTGCAGTGATAGTTATGGCCTTCAAGGCCAAACCTGCGTCTGGCCCTTTTGCTCTCCCCTTTTTTCCCCTCACAGAGGCTTTTACAAAGCTGACTGGAGGCGCTACTTGCTGCAGGTGTCTTCTCATAAAGGCTCACATCATATGGCCTAGTGAACTGACTCAGCTGGCATGTTTTTTTCTTTTGTTTTGTCCCTCTACAGGGGTCAGACAAATCAAGAGACCAGTGTGGTTTCCCGTGGCCAATAGATTGATAGTAATTTTTGCCGTGAGTTCAGAATTTTAATATTAATATTTTATTTTATATATCTGTGACAAAAACATTTCAGATATTTTAGATTTATGGTTGAAGTAAAAAAAAGTGGTTGGGTATCATGAAAGATTGACTTACTCGGGTTCAAGCTATACAGCCCTTAAAGTTATTTAATAACATATTTTAATTAGAATTCCATCCAATACTTCACTGGGCTAAAGCCAGTTTGCTGATTTGTTAATACCTTCTAGCAGCAATGTTGGTCTTGTAGAGGATGCTTTCTCCAGCTGCAGCTTTAGTTGGACAAAGCCAGTAAAAAGAAGTGCTTTATTTGATTTAGATGGGAGGGAGAGCCCAGATACACATTTTGCGTGCTGAGTGGGGGAAAGAGGAAGAAAACATGAGAGTAAAGACGAGAAAGAGATTAATTTCCAGGCTTCTCTCCTCCTGACCACAGAGTGGGCATAAAGAGCCCGGCGCCTCATTGATGTCAGCCATAGCTGTGTCTGTCCTGTAGTTTTCAGTTTGGTTTGGACAGAACACTCGGCCTGGCCTACAGGAGTTGGGAGGACAGGGCCCGGGCTTTCCCACATCACTCAAGGGCCTCTGATAGGCGGTCACACAGCCCGATAATGACAGGGTGAGAGATTTAGTATTAAAGTCTCCTCTACAGCCTCCTCTGCTCCTGTCTGACGTCAGACTGTTAAATATGGGGATGAGAACATGGCAAGGCCTATGGTGTAGGGAGTTAGACCTGTCTTAAGTATAGAGCTTTGTGTGAGAGACCTGGCTCGGTTGCTTGGGACTGTTTCTATGGATTTCGGCTGTACACAAAAAAAGGGAATTGGGGATCATGGTTAATCATTCAAATCATAAGAATTTCTCATAAATCTGTTTACAGTCAAGGTAAATTCTGATAAGAGTAACAACACTTGCAAAGAAATTACTCTGAACGTAACTCATTCAAAGCCTAGGAACTCTGTGTGTTGTTCAGAAGTTCTGGACTGCTATCTTTTCAGTTATCAAACCACTATCCCACACACAATATGAAGGGGTTTTCCCATTGTATTTGTAGAGTTTTATATATATTCTTAGTTTGTTACTAATGATTTTGGAGAGTCTGAGGAAGGAACACTAGATGGCTGGAGGTTAGTTTAAAAAAAAAAAAAAAAAAAAAAAAAAAGAAAATATGTCACATACTCACTAGTAAAAGAGCTCATTGTCCTTGGCAGTGTGCAACTCAACCATACAAGCAATAACCAAAGAAGCTCAGCAACATAAAAGCAGCCGAATGCTGCACCTGCATCCACAGATCATCACACTATTGTGGCATTTAAAGAAAAGGCCTCAGTCAAACACGCCCCCTGACCTTCTCCAGCTAACATAAACTAATTAGGCAGGCTCTGAAAGGAATGGCCTACCATTGGATTAATCAGCCTCCACAGATCTGGACCATGCAGTTCTGCCTAGCCCCTGTTCTCCCCACAAGAACCTCATTATCACACGTTTTCAAAGAAGCGCCTTGGCAAATGGAAAGTGGGCTGAAGGGATGGAGAAAAGGAAGAGGTGGTTGTCCAGGAAGGGGCTTCCCGAGTTCTTCTCTTCTCACATTGGACTCAGAAGGGAAATGTCAAGCGTGAACCTCAAAGAGTGGTCAGTACTGCTTAGTCCAGCAGGCTGCACAGAGGGGGCCTTTGTCCACCATCACTTAGCGCCAATTACAGCCCGTCAAAATAGTTTTTCTGCTGTGGGGCGACGTGTTAATGGGCCCAGTTGGGTGTGAGGAGCGACCTTGTCCACACACACCAACCATGGGTCAGGGGTTAATAGGGCCCCTCTGATGTGGCAGATGAGATTTTGGCAACCTTTAGCTGGCAGGGGAATGCCAGGACAAAGCTGTAGAATGTGATACAATTAGGCGGACAACTAGCCATTCTGAATGGAGTGGTTCTGTAGAAGCAGGATGGCTGCGTCAGCTATGAACAGACTGGCAGCCAAACACTAGCAAAACAGGTGCCTTTGAAGGTCAAAGCCCCTCCTGAATTCGAAAGAGGACCCAGGTGAGGATGTAAACACCATCTAAACAGGGCTTTCGCTCGAAGCATGCAGCAATTAAAAATCCTGTTGAACAAACGACTGCTCTTCTGGACACAAAGAAAGTCCTTTTGTACTTGTGAAAAGGTCAGAGACCATCCAGTCTTCCGCAGCATTTCCCATCCCAACCCTAAGCTAGAACTTGGCTCGAACAGCGAAGTGGGAAAGCAAGGCTGTAGGTCACTCTCAGCCAAACGTGGAAATTGTCTTCTCGGCAATATGAGATATAATAATGAGATATAATAAGTGGACTTGGCATAATTGGTGTCTGACCTATGCTGCATTTGCTGAGATTAAGTAATCAGTGGTTATTTAATTTTTTAAGATAAAAAAAAAGTTTGGCAAAATTCAATGTTCATAATACTGAGCTTTGCTGTGCATGTTGGGTCTGGGCATGTGAGCACAAAGCCAGACCTCCGTTTACACCATAAGTGTGGGAACCGCACAAATGCCAAACTACCCATGGTCCTTTAGAGGACTAACAACACTGCCAGGGAGGGTTGGAGATTTTTAAAAAAAATACCCAACACCACATTGAACAAATCCAGCCACATGCAAGCATGTGGGAAGTAGCGGATGACAGCCATCCACATAAAAATACTCTCCAAACACTGTTTTGGACTTGTTGGTGTACAGTTCATTCCCCTGACTCAAGCCTCTTGGAAATAGCCGTGGTGATCTGGCCCCCAGCTTCATCTACTTCATGTTGAAATAAAAGAGGTGATTGAACTCAGCCTCCAAATTGGATTTGTGTAATCTGCATCAAGTTTGAACATCCTGTGTAAACACAAGAGTGTGCAGATGCCGGAAACACCGTGGCTGGAAACGTAAATGCCCGTGGTTGACTTTGGCGGAGAATCAGAAGAGCAGAATGGAGAAAGAGGCCTGAACACAGGCTGGAGTATGCCTATTGTTACTTTAGGGTTGAAAACTGCTCTTTCCAAGTTAAAGTTAGAATAAAAACAGTTTGTTAAAAGGTGATAGGTGGTGGACAGCATTAGCAAATGT